CTTTGTTTTTTTCTATAAGTTTAAGGAATTCTTTGTTTAATTTATTTAATTCTTTTTTTTGATCTTCGATTTTGTCAACATAACTGTTCTGCTACAACCACGGAATCCTCAAAGTCTTGAGTTCTTCTCTTCAGTCGTTCAATGTGGGAAGCTTTTCTTGTCATCTCCAATTGAAGTTTTTAAATTTCTTTGTAAAGCTCTTCCTCTTTTTCCTCTGCATCATTCCTAAGGTGGTTTAATAGGTTGTCTTTCTCTTTTGTTTCTAATTTTAGCTTGTCTAACATTCCCAGTGCCTCTTTTAGTTTTGAGGCATCTTTCAGAAATTGTTTACAGTCCTTACAGTAAAAGATTAAGTTTCTTTGAGCAAGAGCAATTGCGTGACATTCCGTAGTGTTCACTTCAGCGCAAATTTTACAGAAAAACAAATTACAACAATCACATTGGCCTCCAAATAGTTCATCATCTTTAGGCCGAGCTTTAAATACACAATAATTCTTGCATCTAGAACATGAAAACATTCTAATATGTATAACGTATAGCGTATCGCACTGTGCAAAAATGCTCTGCCGATGATAAGAGGCTGCCGGTGAGGTCCAACAAAAACTTAAATCCTTTTTGTACATTAAATTAAATAATATGAAATTTTTGTTTCTTTTCGCTTTTGATTTTGATTTCACCAATTTAGGCACTTATTGTTCGTTCTTCACAACAAAATGTATCACCATCGGAAAGTCCAGATTTTTAAAAACTCGCACATACCAAACAACACTAATAAAACATATTAATTATCGATAAAAATTAACATAAACGGAGAGCAAATTTAACGATGTTCACAGGTAAAGTCTTCTCCTTGGAAATTGGTTCAAACCTTCGAAATATAATCCAATATACGTTTTCAAATAATTTTCTCGCGCAAAAGAAGTTATGACGTCATTGTGAAACTGTTTTAAACCAGTTTTAAAAAATGTTTCAAAACTTTGAGACGCCAGAAAACACCTCTGGTATCTTTGGGTTTCAAATGACAGGTTCATTTTCAAATAATTGTAAAAATTCTAACGTTAATTCATTGGTCCACTCCATTTCTTATTTTAATTAAAAATAACTAGAAATGCAAAAATCAACCTGCAGCACTGCACACCGCTATAAACTGACAACACTATGCATATAAAAATGCCATCACAAAGAGGGATAATAGTTATAAAACGTTCAAGTCAAATAAAACGGTAGAAAATAGAGAATATTATAAACAATGTAGAAATGCAGTAGTAAGAATCATTAGGGAAGAGAAGGAAGTTTTTTACCATAAAAAGATAGACATGGCAAAGAATAATCCCAAACAAATGTGGGATACACTGGGTCAACTTATTATAGATAAAAATAAAAAAAACATAGGAAAAGTAGAAATCAATAATGAAATCATCACCGACCCCACAGATATAGCCGAAAATCTTAATATATATTTTGTCAACAGCATAGAAACCATAATTTCACATATAGACAAGGGTGATGATAACCCTAGCCCCACTCCAATGTCTCAACGTGATGGCTGTTTCACCTCTTTTCGGTTGATAGATTTTAATGAGTTGAACAGCATCATTACCTCCTTGCCCAATAAAGGAAGTCCAGACGATATAACGGCAGAGTTTATTAAAAAAACATACCACAACATAAAACAACCCCTTTTGAATCTAATAAACACTTCCTTAGAAACTGGTAAATTACCATGTTTGTTAAAAACATCAACAATAATTCCAGTTCAAAAAATCAGGGGTTCTATAAACGCAGGTGATTTTAGACCAATAAATCTTCTGGCGACAGTTGAAAAGATTCTAGAGAGGGTGGTATACAGTCAATTGATGGAGTATATTAATTCAAATAACATCCTTATTCCAAGTCAGTCGGGGTTTAGAAAGGGACATAGTTGTGAGACAGCAGTACAAAATATTCTGTATGATTGGAAAAATCTTCTTGATGATGACTATGCTGTGGGAGCTGTGTTTTTGGACTTACAGCGCGCGTTTGAAACTCTGGATAGAAGTAAATTGATAAAGAAAATGCAAAATTATGGAATTTTGAATGACGTACTTGATTGGTTTGTGGATTACCTGGATAACAGAAAACAAATAACAAAAATTGGGAACAATATATCAACAACAAAAACAAACAATTATGGCGTCCCCCAAGGCAGTACTCTTGGTCCATTACTGTTCTTGTTGTATATTAACGATATTGATTCGGCGATTCAAAATTGCTCTATACACTTATTTGCGGATGATACATTGATCTATTTTTTTTCAAAAGATCTAGTTAGCCTGATGCATGCAATAAATCTGGATCTTCAGCAAATTCAGTTGTGGTTCAATGAAAATATGCTTAAGCTAAATGTTGGAAAAACGAAATTCATTATGATTGGAGGTAACAGGATCCAGCATGAATATAATCAGTATGATTTGAAGATAGAAATAGGTACTGAACGTGTAGAGGTGGTACAGAAGATCAAGTATTTGGGGTTCATCATCGATAATTCTCTTAACTTTAAAGAACATATCCTGTACATCATTGACAAAATATCAAGAAATGTAAATTTTCTGTCCAGGGTGTCCTCATCATTATCAAAATGGACCAAAATAACAATATATAATACCCTGATCTTACCTCACTTTGTGTATAGTGCAACAATACTATTTACTGCTAACAAAAATGAAATGAATCGCCTGCAAAAGTTGCAAAATAGAGCTATGCGTATAATATTGAAGAAAAGAAGGGACACACGTATAGTTGACTTGCTGAATGGATTGGATTGGCTACCTGTTGAAGGGTTTGTCAAGTATCAAACAATGATCTTTATCTATAAAATAAAAAATGGAATTACACCTGACTATTTGACAAATAAATTGATCACCAGTGGGGACATTCATAACTATGCAACTAGAAATAGAGACAATTTTTATGTTGCAAAAAAGAATAAATCGCTTTCTGAGAAAGCAGTATACCATAAGGGGTTAATAATTTTTAATGCATTGCCCAATGAGATAAAGAACTTGCCAAGCATTGGATTGTTTAAGGGGAGACTTAAAGAATACTTGAAGGGAGAATGATGCAAATGAAAATAAAAAAAAATAAAAATTTGTGCTGTATCTGTTAATTCAGAATTGTCCAATGATCTCCACATTGTAAGACGGTAGTATTACTAGGTGAACTAATTATTATATCTCTTGTATTGTAATATTTATAGGATCAAATGTTTTGTACTAAATTAGATGAAGTCTAAATAAAGCAATTATTATTATTATATTATTATACCCCCGAAGCGTCTGGGAGCAGTGTGAAGTCACACGTAATGGACTTTGCGTCACTTCGCCTTCCTTTGCTTCGTGCCAGTTTACCGACAATCGGCGAGAAAATAACGAAGGACGAATATTCGCCAAAGTTACCCTCCCACACGCTACGCGAATAAACCCGAATACCGAATATTCGCCGAATACACGTAGTGTCTGGGACCGGCTTAAGACTAATGACGTATTTTTATCGACTTTACGTCCAATTTTACCAATTTCACCGAGATATGGGTAATATTAAGTAATTTTATGTAAATTACCGGTAATTTTACCTTCGCAACTTTATTTGGGTGTATCCTTCTTGGAAATTTCTAAAAATTATCTTCTATAGTAGGCAGTGGCGTAGCCAGGATTTTGTCTTGGGGGGGCAAATTTGCAGGAAGCGTCTCTTGCGGTCCTACTGCCACCGCTGTCGGAGGCTTAGCGCCGCAGGCTCGAAATTTTTGGGTGCCACGCCCCTTTTTCAGGTTTCTTTACGCTATTTTTGGGACTGTTTATCTTAATTTTGAAGAAATATTCATAAAATTTAAGGGTCTTGGGGGGGGGGGGGGGGGGGGGCAAATGCCCCCTGGCTATGCCAGTGATTGTAGGTATCTGTATCATAGACAGAAAACTATGTGGACTGAACTTTTGGATTTTTCACTTTTTCTGTTGACATTTTTTTCTAAGATTACAGCTTCAAATCCCAAATAAATCACTGTATGGAATTTCTGGGGTCCCAAATGATCATCAAAGTTAAAATGTATTTTTTCCTTAAATTTCAATCATCCTTTCTTCATCCACTTGCAAATTTTCAATCCGATTCCTTAAAAATTTTGCCCCAAAAAAAAATAATAAAAAGCCTCTCTATGTTGTTTTTTTGGAAATTTGGTTTTTTCGAAAATGATATTGACATACATTTTGCATCATATTCATAACTTTGTTGATTTTAATCCGATCTTAACGTAATTAGGTTTCAATGCAGCTTCAATAGTTTCGCAACTGTGAAGCTTCAAAGTCTTTTGACTTTGATTTTTATCAATTTGAGCAAAGGATATATTTGTCAAAATATCCACACAAAAAATTTTGAAACTTGACCAGTTTGGAAGTAAGACCTGCTCATTTGGACTTGAATTTTTGAACACTTTGAATTTATACCATTCATACGTAACTTTTTTTCTATAAAAGATAGAACTCTGAAATTTTCAGCGATTGTTATCCTAATAGAGGATTATAATCCCTGAAAATTTCAACTCATTTGAACTTGTAGTTTTTGAGGAAAAATCCTTTTAAGACATTTGAATTGAAGTGAATTTTTGGATTGTTCAATTTTCCTAAAATCCTTGTGGTATCTACTCCTATGGCATACAAATTAAAGGAATTGGGCTACTTCCACTGGCCAAAACTCGTTGAGAGCTTTATACATCTTTCTATAGGCAAATATAAAAAAAAAAAAACTTACTTTTCTTCAAATAAACAATATGCTTAAGGAAAGGAAGGCTTTCCAAATTCCAATTCTTTCTAACTTAATAAACTAGGTACATACATAAAACAAGATTATTTTCTAATAAAAATCAAATCTTTTTGACTGCCTTATTGGTACCAATGGTACCCCCAAACTAATTAATTAAAATTCTATTTTCAATGGGCAAGCCCCATCAAAACAAATTACGTCAGACATACCTCAGTGTGGGTTGGGCATTGAATTTTCTTGCAGACTCCACCACCACCAGCGACTTATGCCTGGATTTCGGCTACTTTTCTGGATTTTTGGTTATTTAATCCACTACAATTTGATAAGGCTTTATATTATTTTAATTTTTTAATAACATAAACAAATAGGAGAAATTTTTCGCAGAGGCACCATTTGCAATGTCATTGTTTGACAATGAATGACATAAATGACTTGTTAGCTCTTATTTGTTTTTTATCCTTGTTCAATGAACACGATTGAAAAGAGACAAATATAAGGTTTGTTCCTGCAGTAATCACAAACTAGTCAGAGCGAATTTCATTGGTAGAAAACATTCAGAAAACTAGTTTCAACCAATGAAATTCACTCTGACTGGTTTGTGATTTTGTGATTTCTGCAGAAACAGACCTTATAAGTGGCTTGTTCAAATATCTAAAAATGGTCAAAATGGAGTAACTCTAGCATGTATAAATGAAAACCCCTTTTGTCAATATGTTCGATAGTCTTTGTACATCTTTTTCTATGAGCGTGTGAAAGAAAAGGATGATAATACTATGCTGTGTTCAATACGTCAACAAAAAAAAGAAGAGTCTTGAAGTCTTGAGCCTTTGCAAGTGTCAAAATAGGCCAATCAACAAAAAATAAATAAACAAATCAATTAATTCCATTATTATAGTAAAATACTAATAATTATTAATTAAATTTCCAGAAGACGATCAGACGATGTCGCACAGCGATAGCGAAATAAACGACGCATTTAAAACTCGTATCCGCAAACAGATGCTTTTAGAATTCAAGGCTAAGAAACGTTTTCAATCCTCCAAAGAGGTGAAAAGTCTAACTTTAAAATTGGAACCGATTTACCAAGAGTACAGACTCGTCCGGGCCGTGAATTTGAATAACACTTGCGAGGTGAAACGTTTGCTGGACAAGGGGGTCAGTCCGAACAGTACCGATAACGAAATGAGAAGCGCTTTGCATATAGCTGTTAGTAAAGGGTAATTATACATTGACTACTTTCATGTTTTTGAAAAAGTTATTCTAATAACATCTGTATACTTTTTTTCCATAAGAAATAACTATTTTTAACATGTTAGGACTGTGACGTCAGAGTCCCAACATTGCGAGGATGTCAAATTACTTTATTAGAGGAGGGTTTATCAATATATACATCTTGCAAAATTTAATGCAGCTGAGTCGATCGCTTTTGTTAGTTAACAAATATCTTAGAATATGTCAATACAGTACGACCTCGATAATCCGACCATACTACTGAAAACTGCATTACGCTACGCGCACTACTTAAAATTTAATACATAATAATCATAATAACAATAATGTTCTCGAAGCTGGATCAGAAGAGTCCGAAGAAAAATCTGAAGAAATCGAACCAACTAATGTGACTCACAGAGAAGCAGTAAAATATTTTCAGACTTAGAGATTGAAGTTTACCGGTAATTTTCATTTGTTCTTTCTCAGTGGTAATTTACCGGTAATTTTTCGGTAATTTTGGAAATATTTTATGAAACAAACAATTGAGACCATATACTACATATACGTTCAAGGATTATATACTTATGCCCGATTGCACCGTCTCTCTTAACCGAGGCTTAGAGATAACTATTCCTTAAAGTGACATTTTCCCATGCAAAACTGTCAATTTAAGGGATAGTTATCGTTAAGCCTCAGTTAAGAGAAATGGTGCAATCGGGCATTACAGGATTTTTTACCTAAACAACTATTTATCATAATAGTGTTTGTTGTAAAACCTAACCTCGTAGAAATATAGCAATAAACAAATCATAATACCTAATTCCTAGAACGAAAAACGAGTAAAGAGAATCAAACAAAAATAAAACAGAAATAAATTCTCCTAATAAGATGCACAAAAACATTCGTGGAAAAACATTACATCTAACTCTTGCGGAGAATGTCTTTTCCACCCTTGACCACATCCCTTGACAGCTTGCTAACTGCAGCCGCGGGCGGAAAAGCACCACTTTCTGCACTTGTTAGGTCAATAACTATTTGTTTATGTCAACCCTGAAAGCGCGTTATACAGATTCACAACTAGATGGCGAATAATGCATGAGAAGGATTATCGCCTAATGTGATTTCATTCAGGAAGTCTTTCTGAAAATTACCGGTAAAGAAATTTGTCGGGTTAAATTACCAAAATTACCGTTACCGCGGTAACGTTACCACACTTCAATCTCTATTCAGACTTGCTTAAAATGAACAGAACAAAATTCTGAGACAGCTGAGAACATTTTTATTCTAAAGCTCGGTTTATTCATCTTCCTGGGTACCTAACTATCTGCAAGATAAATTTACCGTTTTATAATTCTATTGGTCTGCGGAAAACTGGCCGACCAATGGGATTACAGAGTGCCTTTTTCTTCGTCAAATTGCATACCTGACAACTTATCAGAAGATGAATAAACCAGCAAAGAAACGAAAAAGAAGACATAAATGGGAGAAGCAGAAAGTATGAAGCAAAAAAAAAGTACATTACATAATTGTTTTACTCATCCAACCTAAGTTAAACTGAGTGTTAATTATGTACATTTATATTTGTCTTAAAAAATAAAGCTTATTTTTGATTATTTGCATATTTAAGGTAAATTTACCACGCATTTTGATAATCCAAACAAATCAGTAATCCGAACTAAACTTAGCAATAATTAGTTCGGCTTAACGAGGTTGTACTGTATTAATATGACATTGTTATTGTGTAGCAGATTCTAAGGTGACTGTTTTTAATTCTATTCCAGATGAATTAACTTTAGTTTTTACCCGGGAATGATCAAATGCTGGAAATGAAGTTTTCACACTTTTTCAATTATTGGGTTTCGCTAATAAGATTTTAATGCTATTCCAGTTGAATTTACTTTAGCTTTTACCATACACCATCAAATTTAAACGCTGAAAATGAAGTTTTCACACTTTGCCAATTGAATTTTGCTCTATAGAAGATAAAAATGAGCGCTCTAGATCCATCTGTAGCTCTAAAATAATCATACTTTTTTTAAACTTCTCTGGTATATTTTTCGTTCAAGGAGAAACAGGAATAAGATGCTATCTAAAATAATCCGTCTTTATTTGAACTTCTCTGGTATATTTTTGGCTTCAGAACAGCCTGGAATAAGATTTTAATGCTATTCCAGTTGAGCTAACTTCAACTTTCACCCTGAAATGGTCGAAACCTTTGAATCCAAAAGCTGGAAATGAAGTTTTCAAACTTTTTCAATTGAATTCCGCTCTAATAGAAGATACAATGAGCTCTCTGGATCCACCTGTAGCTCTAAAATAATCAAACTTTTTTTGAAGGGTATATTTTTGGCTTTAGAAAGTCTTTGTTAGTTAACAAATGCCTTAGAATGTGTCAATATTAATATGACATTATTATTGTGTAGGACATTCTAAGGTTATTGTTTACGAACAACCACTTACCAAACGATCAATATAGTGGCCCTAAAACCCATCATGTAATGTCAATGTTTTAAATTTGATGACCTGGGTCCTTATTCTTGAAACAGAGTTCCCATGAGAATGTGTGTTCTGTCTTTGTTGAGTATATTGGTATTTGCATAACACTGACAAAGACAAAGTGATTGGTCTCACAAGAATGTTGGGGTCCCCTGTTTCAAGAATGATAACCCAAGGCTGGGACTCTATATTGAATAGAGATATTTTCTCTACCTCTATTGATATGTCCTCTTTATTGATTTCAATAAGAGAGAAGAAGACAGCAAGTGCCATAGCCGTGGGGTTACAGAGTTTCAGCCCTAGGGCCTTATTCTTGAAATCGAGGAGCAGCGTTCCCAGGAGAACAAGTGTTCCGTACTTGTTACTTATATTATCTTCAAAAATAAGGACCCACAGGTCATATTTTTTCTATTCCAGGCTCTTGAATTTTTTTTTATTTCAACAAATTCAAGAGCCGGTAAAAGACAAAAAGTGAGTTAAGAAAATTGAGAAATAGAGAGAAAAAATTTAGGAAAAAATGAGAAAAAAATATTAAAAAAGAGGACATTTATGTTTTTGGTAAAATCGAGTAAATACTACAACTTTTTCAATGGGCTCTTTCACTAATTTTTGAAATTGGCATATTTGGATAAAGCAACTAAAAACAGAATTTTCTGTATTTTTACTTTTGAAAAATTCATAGTCCTTCTTGAGAAAACAGAAAAAAAAGAAATACCTCCAAATAAAAACCCAGAATTTATTTCTATGACGTCGCAGCTCGCTATTTGACCGTGTTGCCACTAATTGTCAACATTGAAAATTTGTAATAGATTTAATTCTGAAATGTTCGCAAAATTTCATGAAAAGTAGTTAAATTAATTAGTTATGGATTCAAGATTTTATAACATTTTTATTGAAATTATGCTTAAACACAATTTAATATAATTTTCTATGTTTAGTTTTATTTATTTATTTTACGTTGCACTACATTTAGTCACCACCGACAACAGCGCATTCGAACCTTTACCTGCATTTACTACAGGATAAATACAGCAGAGGCGGACAGCTGTTTGCAACAACAAGCGAAATGAAAAATATTTATGCGACGTCAGCAAATCGGCGCGTTTTTAAATAATTCAAATTTTGGTAGTTTAAAATGCCTGTAAAAAACTTATTTAACCTTGTAGAACATTTTTTTTTGGTATATGTGCCTAAAATAGTCCCTCCTTTGGGATTTTATACCTAAATTACGTATTTAAATTTTAGTGAAAGAGCCCATTATAATTCAGGAAGTATCAGTTGTTATTCAGATTTTTCAAATTCTCTAGATCTCACTAATTCTTGGTTTCTTTACACAAAATCCGGTGACAATCATCATAACCCTTAAATCGCCTTTTTGTCTATATTTCTTTTGCTGTAAATGAAAATTTAATTTCGCCTAAGCGTCTGTGAAACCTCCGATGCTTTCAATGTTTAGAAATTTTGTGTCTTTTAAATCTTTAGTTCTAAATGAAGACTCTGGAAGTTTCTTCTTAAGAATCAGAATCTATAGAATATCAGACTTTGGTGTAACTGTAAATTCTTTAGCGTCTTTAATTCTAATACTTTTCCAATTGATATTTGCTCTATATGAGATTCAGCTCTGAAACAGCTTTGTCTTAATATTAACGTTATAATGGATCACAAATCAGAGTATTATATTTATCTAATTTAATGTTGGTTCTAGTATAGAGTAGGGAATAGGATTTCTGGTTCTGGTTAACAAATTTTTAAGTCTCTCCTCTAGAATTTCAGCTCTAAAGAGGGTCAAAAAGACCTTTTTAAACTAGACTAGAAGCCCGAAATAGAATTTCTAAACTTCTTCAAGGTCCAGTTTATTCAACTTCAGATAAACTTGCTGGTTATTATCTGCAAGATAAATTCACTGTTCCATTGGTCGGCGAATGACTGGCCGACAAATGGGATTACAAATGTCAATAATTAGGTCCGTTCTTACAGAAATCACAAACCAGTCAGAGTATTAATTTAGATTGGTGCAAATCGCCGACAATCAGTTTTCTTACTGTTTTGAACCAATCAAATTCGCTCTGATAGGTTCAGAAGTTCAACTTTGGTAGAGTGGGAGGTGAAAAGGCGTCAAATCATAAGGGAATCTTTTTCCCTCTACTTCAACACCCCATCCTTTACTAAATCCCGCCTCAATTTTATTTTTATTTCCCTTACTCTTAACCCTACCACCTACCCCCTCTCAACCCTACCACCTACACCACTCTCAACCCTACACTTTTTCCTTCTTCCTTGACAAAGGACCCCGCAATATTTAAATAGAAATTGGTTACCCCTGATATTTGGATGAAATTTAAATATGTTATTGGGGATGCCGTAAGCAAATTTTCATACCATGGGCACAACCCTGTTTATATGACAGGTGAGGCGTGGTTAACTGTCAAATATTGGGATCTTATATCCAAAAGCGGAGTGACTATGGCAGATTTTGATGAACGAAGTATCGATGTCTACTAAGTCGAAACATGTCAACCATTTTGACACCTGTCAAAACCGTGCCAAACGGCAGCACTCATATTTTCCAGTTTTCAATATTTTATGATGTCATTTGACATTTTTAACTAGAATGTAAATTCTGAATTCAAAAATTGAAGAAAAAAAAAAACAGAACTGTCAAAACCTGTCATTTGTTGTAGTAGAAAAAAATACTCTTATCTGGTTCTTTCTTGTTTTAAGGTAGTTTATTGGTGATAAAACATTGAACAAAGTTCATGCACGTGACATTTTGACAGATGTCAGAATTTGTCAATAGCTTTAATTCAAAAAAGAATCAAATCTAGTTCTTTTCCAATTTAGGTTAGTCATTTCAAAATGGTTGACATTTTTTGACTGAACTTGGTCGACTTAGTAGAAATACATTTTTTGTTCATCAAAATCTGCCATAGTTACTCTGCTTTTGGACATAAGATTCCAATATTTGACAGCTAACCACGCCTCACCTGTCATATATACAGGCTTATGCCCACAGTGAAAAATGTTGCTTATGTCATCCCCAATAACATATTTAAATTTCATCCAAATATCACGGGTAACCAATTTCCATTTAAATATTGCGGCGTCCTTTACAACCTAAATGAATACAAAAGTTAAAAAAGGTGCATCACTCAAAAATAAATGGGGGTTTAGTGAATGACATGGGGCGTGTTTGATAGAGAAAGTAGGGCCTGACAAAGTAGGAAGAAAAATGGATTCCTTAGGAACAAATTAAGGACCGACTGGTTACGTCATTGGCATTTTTTTTTTTTTTTCTGGTAAGGGCCAAATTATGGACCAACTGGTAAGTGTCTGGTTGTTACCTAACAGGTACTTTCTATTCTCTAGTGCATAAAAAGTACCTGCTAGGTAACAAACAGACATTTACCAGTCAGTCCATAATTTGGCCCTAAAACCAAAAATTCAGTTTTTAGTTTCACCAGCAGGATCAATTTACTAAGGGCCAAATTTTGAATCGACTGGTAGCATTATTGGCGCCTTTATCCTGTTGGTAAAGCTGAAAAATGCATTAAACTTTTAGTTTTACCAGCGGGATAAATTTGCCAGAGACGTTACCAGTAGGTACATAATTTGGCTCTGAAGGCATTACCAGTCGGTCAATAAGTTGGATCTTAGTAATCTGGGCGCCTTACCTTCCATTCTACTAATTTTAAATCTAGAATAGTGAAAAATTAATAATACATATTTAATTCAATTTTAGTTTTGCTAGAACCTGAAATAAGATTTCCAAACTTCTTTAGACTCAGTTTATTCATCTTTAGATAAACTTGCTAGTAAGTAACTATCTGCAAAATAAATTTACCAATCAACAAATAGCTGGCCAACAAATGGAATTACATATTGCGGTAATAGTTGTTCTCAAAAAAATCACAAATCAGTCAGAACGTTTTTGATTGGTACAAATCGCGTTCAACCAGATTGCAACCAATCAAAATCGCTCTAATAGGTTTAGTGATTTCTGTGGGAACAGACCTTTTATTAGTCAGATTGAATTACCTAATATTTTATCAGTAGGTGAATAAACCAGCTTCAAATGCAGCTCCATGAGAGTCAGTTATAGGACTTTTAAGATTGAGTTTTGGCTCTGAGAGGATCAAAAAGTAACTTCCAACCGCTAAGGTTCAATTTTAACTCTAGAATTATCACAAATTAACCTTCTAGTTGAAACTCGGCTATAAAATTGCTGGGAATGGAATTTTTACGCCTCTAGTTCAGTACCAGCTCTATAAGAGTCAAAAATAAGTTTTTCTTCTTCTACAAAACTTCGAAACATGAGTCCTAAAATATAAATATGAACATTTTAAGAGTGAATCTAGGACTTAATTAATTTTTATTGTTTAAGGCAGTTTTGGAAAATTCAAACTTATTTTCCAATATCTTTCCAGTTATTCAGATATAGTCCATCTACTACTACAACACGGAGCCGATCCCAACAAGAGAGACATTATCCAGAACACCCCTTTGCATTTGGCCGCTTGTATCCACAATCTGCCCATCATTTCCATGCTCATCAATGCAAAGGTAAATCTTTAGTTAGTTACAATAATCTTTAAATCAAATTTTTATGAATAAATTCTACATTAAAGTTTAATATTATCTAATAATTGAAATTTCCTCCCTAGGCAAATATCTGTTGTCTGGATATCCACGGAAGAAATCCCTTGCAATTAGTTTCCAGCAAGTTGCAGATTCTAAGGAAAAGCTGGAGAGACGGTTCCATTGAAATGGTTAAATTGCGAGAAGAATTACAACAGGTAACATCAAAAAGAAGAAAAAGTTTCCAAATTTAATTTGGAGCTTCAAATTAACCTTTGTCCATATGAACAAGACTTTGATTCATTAATTACAAATTACAAAATATTAATTTTGATTTTACCAGGTAGTGGATTTACTATTATCCTTCCTCATCCGTGGAGTGGAAGAAAAAATGGAAAGACTGAACCGAAACAGGGTAAACGTAGACGAACTACAACTGATGAAAGTCTCTTTGGACTCTCAGCCCGCCGAACAGTTGGACGACCAAATGTGCAAACTTTTAGACGATATCGAAAAAATACAAATCAAATAATAATTGTATTTTTTTGATACATTCTTGTGTGGCATTAATAATAATTAATTTTAGTTTTATAATACAAATTTTTTCCAGTGACTGATATACAATTGTATATGTAATTTTTCTTTGAAATATAATTTGATTTTGATTATATTTAGGGAATGATTTATACCTAAAATTAGGACAGGAAATTGAATTCAAAAAATAAAAAAAACAAACATTTTATTATCAACCATCATTAGACACTAAAAATTGGACAACAAGAAAAAATGTACAATATTTATAGTTAAACCTAATTTGGCATAATAATAATTAATATTTTGATTTATATCGGAATTGGAAATTACTTAAACCTAAACAGCTTTTTGATTTAATAAATGCAACATTTGATATTTTTGAGGTCAAAATTGAATTAAAGGCAACGTCTAAAATGCGACTAGTTTTTCACAGCCCCATATTTACAAATATCTTGAGTATTGTTTACAAGTGGGATCAGAAAATCCCCAATTAATTCTAAATATATTTTAATCTAAAAAAAAAAAACCTTCTTAGGGCTGGTTTTTTTGTGAATACTAGCGTTCAATGAATAATTGGTAGGAACCTTAAAAACTATCAAACCTGATTAAGAGAGGTTCCATGGTGGACAGAATCACAACCTTCGATTTTTTCTTAAGCCTTTTAGCGTTTCTAACGAGCGAAACGGAATGTTCGGATCAGGGAACCATCACTCGGGCAAGTTCCGGAAATATTTCAGCTTGAATTGGACCGTACTCGACATGTTCTCCATCCACAGTTATGTACCCATTTTGTCCCATATCGGGCTCTATCCTGAAAGCATTGACCGGAATCAATTCAATATAGCTACTGGCGTCTCTGTTTTCGTTGGCGTGTGCGCCGGTAGTCAAACCTAGAAAGATTTGCAAACTAGTTATAATTGATTTGTAATGATTAATTATTACCTAAAAGAAATTGAAGTAATTGAGACCTGCTGGCACCGTGTTTGACTATCAGCAACCAAATACGGCCGTCGTTTAAGCGAGCTTCAGGTGCAAACAAGCAATCTTCGCCTAAATGGGTCTGATATGAGGCATGAACCTAAAAATTGTCAATGTACCAAAAATATTTAAAAAATAATAATTATTACCATCACAAATCGGCCTTCGATACATTTCCAATTTTCCGGTAAAGGCGCTGTTACGCTTGGTAATTGAGGCGCTGGTCCGTACATGCGCCTATTTGTGACTGTTGAAGGTAAATCTCCGTCTCCTATAATGAGGGTGAATAAAAAATGGTTCAATATTGAAAAAGTTATAGGTTTGATCATGGGTGAAAAAGTGCTGCAATGGTTTTGCCGATATGAAACTTGTATACAGGCAAAATTTTGAGAATCTATATTCATTGGCTTTTAGAGGCCCTTTATGAAATTTCTCAAAAAGTAATCCTGAACTCAATTTATAGGTTATTTTATAGAGTAATACTAAATGGCTTTATTTGCAAAGAAACACCCTGTAACTGGAATCTTCTATAGAATCCCCCCAATTTCAACTTAATAAAAGTCTTTTAAAAAAATTCATATATTTTGCCTCACAACTTTGTTAATTTCAATCCCTATCTTAATGTAATTAGGCTTGAAGTAAAGCCAATTAAACCCTCTACGAATACAATGAATAGTTTTCAAATTTGCAACAGCAGTCAGTGCAACACTTTCAATGTGATTCTGGTAGGAATAAAATTTGAACATGCACAATGATTCCCAAGAAAAGAAGAGCCCAAATTACCTAATCCGCTATCTGTGGTCGATTGATATGAACTACCACCGGTCGAAAAATAGGCACTACGTCTAGAATGAGCACTATACCATGAGTCTACCCTTGGCCTTCCTAGAAAAATTACATAAATGGGACAATTAGACAGAAACAAGAGGAAATATTGAAGCATTTTTAAACTTTTTTTGTGTGATTTTGAGAAGAAAACAAAGCAATAGAATAGTAATATGTTACATATTTACATTATTAATGATGTCATAAGAGTGACTGTGTAAAACATAGTAAAACCCAATGAATGATTGAAATTACCTTCTTCCGTCTCCAAATGTATTTCGGCAGGAAAATCCAAAGTACTACCTTCTCTTTCACTGTTGATGGAATTATAAGAAACCGGCACAGTCGATGCAGGAAGGTACCACAGCTTTCCTTTGTAAGATCTCAGACCAATGAGACGTGCCAGCGACCATACTGTAAACCTGGTACCGCCTAGTACCCTCAACCTCGAAAATTTCAATGTTATAAAATATAACTACATGAAAATTCCTAATTACCTCTCGCTCTCGATATCGATATCAGACAACAACCCCCATCCAATAGACAAAAACGAATAGACAATCTGAGAAACGGTTTCGACTCGAACCAAATCCATGGATTCGCTGGTACCCCTGACTGCAGCTAAAGCTGCTGGTAAAGTAGGCGCTGGTAAATAGGGTTCGGCCGAGTGGTGCGCTATGCTGCGAGCCAGGCCGTTGCCGGAACCTCCGGGTACCACTCCGATGGGTATGGATTTGATTATTTGCGCCCAGTCCGGACGTTCGAAGATGCCGTTGATTATTTCGAAAACTATACCGTCGCCGCCTACCTGGAACAGAAATTAATCTTTGGATAACCCTGGTGTAAAGTGATTATTTCCATTTATAATAAAGATGAACAAATAAAGTGTGCACCAGCACAAAAGATTTATGTAATTGGAAATAAACACAATGGGTAATGATAAAATTATAAAACTAATACCAAACGCTTTTTTAGATTCCGTGCTTTATTTCCTTCAGTTTGATACCACACAACCTGGCACAAAACCTATATTCTCAGAGGAACCAATTTTTCATGAAGATGGGAGGACATAGGGAGGGGAGGTGGGGATGATAAGGGAGATAATAATAGAAAAACAAATACGAAACACTTTTTTAGATTCTGTGGTTTATTTCCTTCAATTTGATACTTACTAACAGGCAACAGTTTAACTCGATATTTGTTTTGCAGAAGAGGGCAATTCGTTATTTGTGTAAAGTTGCAGCTCGTGAACATTGTCAACCGCTATTTATTAGGGAAAAAATTTAACTGTACTATGTTTGTTCGTTTTAGAAACTGTGTGTCTTTTGCACAAGAAATATTCAGGTTTGGAAACTCGGGATATTGGGTACAACACTAGAGTAAGTTCGAACACTAATATAGGCTTACCTATACCAAAGTCTGCTTTAGCAAAACACTCAATATTCTATGAGAGCAAAAAAATTTTCAACCATCTAAGTAATGAACTTAAAACGATCAGAAACTACAAACTATTTCGTAGGAGTGTTAAGGATATTTTGTTGCAAAAGGCTTACTACAGCTTGGAGGACTACTATAGTGACACTTATGACTGTACAACCTTTTTTGTTTTTAAGTACTCTTGTCTTTTATCAATCAACGCTTTTATTTACATTTTATTATTTTAGTATAGTTTTAAGTACATGTAATATTGCTTGGATCGCCGTATTATTTGTCAATTTTTTTTTTAACTTGTTTGTATTTGCATTGTACTATTGGTGATTTATTTTATATTTTTCTTGGATAATAAAGTATGATTGACTATGACTATGACTATGACTAGCCCAAGAAATTTATGGGTTTTTCAAAAAGTTTTGCGAGGGCAGGCTGATTTTTTCAGGGCTGATTGAGACTGTGTCCTGAGTTGAGCCAAAAAATCACCTAGAAAGCCTTGTGCGTTCGGCCCTATTGGCCTTTTTCTTATTTATTTTTTTTCAACAAAATGACCTTAACAAAACTTGTAGATAATTACATTCTGATCAACTTTGCCTCATGCCTTTTTTTGCTAGCTATTTTAGTTTAGGCGTTGCAGCCATTTTAGTGCTCCAGAATTCGCAAAAAAATTAAATAGCAAACCTGCAGAATATTGTAACTTTAATAAAATTACTGGTAATGTATTCCAATTCCATTACGTGATCGGTTTTAGTCCAGAAAATGATACATTACATCACTAATCCGGTGAAATCATTTTCTTGGAGTGAGAGCGTAAAATGGAAATGACCTGTTACCTGTTTAAAAAGTGACAGAATGTTTTTTTTTTTCTAAAATCGGCCTAGAAAGTAAACTTTGTCGATTAGATTAGTGCTGGCAAAGTAGACGTTTCCTGATGACCTCCACTTTGCCGCTTTAGAGCGTCAAACTACGTCAAAATCCTTCACTTTGTCGCTCTAGAGTGGCAAAGTAGTAAAAGCGCTTGCTTTTACTACTGGTTTCTTTGAACCTGAACTATTTTTATCAAATGCGATTGTAAAAAAAATCAAGTGTGCATTACGAGCAAAAAGTGCCTTTTGCCGATCTCAAGATATTTGCCAATATCAACAATATCTTTCGATCAGGAAAGTACCACTTTGCGCTCTTAATACGCAAATAGCTATTATGCAACCGTCCGCGAAATTCAATTTCGCGAAACGCTACATTTTACCTGCAAAATGTGTCAAATCCTTAGAAACGCTATGCGTGCCACAATGTCTACCAGGTCAAATAAAAATTTTCAAATGCCTAAAACGCCGTTCAAGCGAAAGAAATAAATTTACAATAAAATATCATCAAGCAAAGTAATAGAGAATTTTATTAGGTATAATAATCTGCAGGGTTGCTATTTAATTTTTTTTGCGAATTCTGAAGCAGTAAAATGGCCGTAGCGCCTAAAGTAAAATAGCTAGCAAAAAAGTCATGAGGCAAAGTTGATCAGAATGTAATTTTCTACAAGTTTTGTAAAGGTCATTTTGTCGAAAAAAAATAAATAAGAAAAAGGCCAATAGGGCCGAACGCACAAGGCTTTCGAGAGTGATTTTTTGGCTCAATACTCAGGACACAGTCCCCAATCAGCCCTGGAAAAATCAGCCTGCCCTCGCAAAATTTTTTGCGGTCCAGGTATAAATTTCTTGGACTAACTTTGCAACCCATATTTTTACAGCTCAATTTTTTTTTTGATGATGGGGGATATGGGGGGTAATAGGGGAGGTTATAGAAAAACTTCGAAAAACGGATTCTATTATTTTATTAATAGAGTCTACATAACAATTTTTGAACATTTGTGACTTTTCGTTTACGAGATAAAGAAAATCCCTTTACCCCCTTGCAAAATCAAATTCAGTACCCTTATTTCTCCGCCCCCAGCTAAAAGTTCAAAAAACCCTGAAATACGCGTTCATTTATTTTGTTGGTAGAATCTTTATGTCAATTTTCAGATCTTTGCGGGTTCTCGTTTCCAAAATACAGAAATCCTCTTTATTATTTCAAGCCCTATTTTAAGCCCCTTGGGGGTGAAATTTTCAAAAATCGTTTCTTAGTGAGAGCCTACATCATAAACCCAATAAGTACGTCCTCCAAGTTTCATAATTGTAGATCAAGTATTTTGGATTGTGCATTTATAGTTGATGACTACCGTTCTTTTATTATTATATATTTATTTAAAATAAAGGTGTTTTCCGAGGGGCGATTAACTGGTCAAAATTTGTGTACAAGTTGGTCAAAATCTCAGAAAAACTCATAAGATCTACTTTAAAATCCCTAAAAATATTTGAAATACTTATAAATTCAACAAAATCCCACGAAATATCTTGAAATCACATAAAATCCTACAAAATCTCACAAAAATTTATTGGAACTGAATAAATTCCGCAAAATCTTATAGAATCATTAAACATTCCTAAAAAACATTTCCTTTAAAATTCCCAAAAATCCTTTGGATTTCCCAAAACTATGTTAGAATCTCTATGAATCCTTTGGTATCTCTAAAACCCTTCAAAAATCTCTAAAATGCTCCAAAATCACCTAAAATCTAAAATTTTGTAAGCTCCTGTAAAATCCTACAAAATCAATAAAGTTTTAAAATCTGTGTACATACCGGGTGCCCACGAGATCACTTTCCGGCTGCCATTTTTTTATTTATTTATCGATATCAACGAAACTTGGTAGAGTTGATATTCTAACCAAACGCCATTTTTATGCATTTATGACAAGTTTTCCCGACTTCCGGTTTTACCGGAAATGACAGCAACTTTTGATTTTTAAATGGCACACCCTGTATATTTTTCGTTTTTCGTATTCTACAGATCGTTTTACATCCTAATGCACCACTTTTGAATCGATTTTTGTCCAAATTTTATTTTTAAATTAAATTTTATTTTTTTAACTAGAGTGCCATGATCATCCTAAAATTACTCTACATACTTTACTTAATTTCAGAAAAATACAAACTCAATTTTATCTTTGTAAACTTTTTTGATAGAGGGCTGTAAACTCCATTATTTCAGTATTTTTGACCTAGCTCAAAAAGTAGAATAGAAACATATCACTTTCATAACATTACTAAATACAGTATTTTAAAGCGAATCCAACGATATAATACACTACGACATTTTTCTCAATTTTCGTTCATTTACTTATTTTTGTAGGTAATTTTTTTTTCTACTTAAAATTTAATTTGAAAACGAAATTTGGACAAAACTCGATTTAAAAGTGGTTCATTAGGACGTAAAACGATCTGTAGAATCCGATAAACAAAAAATATACAGGGTGTGCCATTTGAAAATCAGAAGTTTCAGTAATTTCCGGTGAAACCGGAACTCAGAAAAAGTTGTCATAAATGCATAAAAATGGCGTTTGGTTAGTACCGAGGTTAGTAGGTACCAAATTTCGTTGATATCGATGAACAAATAAAAAAATTGCAGCTGGAAAGTAATTTCGTGGGCACCCGGTATTTTAAGGAGTTGACTAAACCTCGGAAGGTTAATTGGTCAAAATCCGTGTACAAGTTGATCAAAATGCCAGAAAAACTTGTAAGATCTCCTTAAAATCCCTAAAAATCTTTAAAAATGTAACAAAATCTCACAATATCCCTTAAAATCACTCGAAATCCCATAAAATCCCTCAAAATCTTAGAAAATCATTGGAATTCCTAAAAAATATTTCCTTAAAAATTTCCAAAAATCCTGTGAAATCCCCAAAAATCTGTTAAAATTTCTTAAAAACCTTCAAGATCTCTAAAAACCCTTCAAATAAAATGCTTCAAAAGCACCAAAAATGCTCCAAAATCGCTAGGGATGTAAAATCTGTGTACATATTTTAAGCAGATAACCACCCCTCAGTGTTTTCAAAAGTAGTTCCTTTTTGTTTTGACTAGTTTTAAATAAGTACCTCATTATTTTGTTAATTTCAATCTGATCCTAACGTTATTTAGGCTTAAAATAAAGCCAATTGAATCCTCTACAAGTCTCCAATGAATGGTTTTAATGCAGCTTCAATAGTTTCGCAACTGTGAAGCTTCAAATTCTTTCGGCTTTGATTTTGATCAATCTTGATTTTTTCCAAAACGGCCTTGAACTACATTCTATCTTACGACTTTGTTAATTTCAATCTGATCTTAACGTAATTTAGTTTGAAATAAAGCCAATTGAATTATCTACTACGAATCCAATGAATAATTTCAGTGAAACTTAAAATTCTCAGATAAAAAAAGAACACGTTTTTCTAATCTTCTTTCAATTTGCATTTATAGTTCAGATAAGCCAGGATTGTATTTAGAGAAAAAAAAAAAAAAAGGAATTAATTCCTGTAATTCCATACCTAAGCAATAATTGATGAGAAATTATTTCTCATTACCTACTATTTAAAATGGTACCTAAAGAAAAATTAATATGTATTTCAAAGGCATTACTTCAAAGTTTTATTAACCTTTGTCACTGCATATTTTCTCATTTCTATTAGGAAATTATTGAAAACAATTAAGTATAATACCAACGAGAAAATTGCCCGCAATTACCGTATAAGTTGACGATAAATTCTTAAGTGCCATTAATAAAACCTGATTATCACCTTTTCAAGATAAGGCACGAAACGTGGGATTTTCAACAATTTTGCCTAATGTAAAATTAATACAAAGAAAAATTGTTACAATAGCAATGACACAATAATTATTTAGACTTGGTTCAAGGTTGACTCATTAATTTTACATCATAATTTACTTCCTATTTGTTTTAGCTAATTACTGGAATTCCCTCTGCTGGCTATTTTGTTTTGCATAATTATTTTTTGTTAATTTCAACAGGATCTTAATGTGACAATACTTACCGCAATAATTTCAGTCCACTGAAACAAATTATTGCACCTGACAAAATCCCTGGCAAAATTGAAATGCTTGGTCACGTACAAATCATAAGGAATCTCCGCTTCGTTCAATATTGGGGCCACCTTCTGTTGGAATATTTGCTTGCCTTTGCCGGCCCCACTTTTAGGATTGCAAAGCACCAACAGCCTTCTTGTCTCCCTATGCTTTGACTCATTCAAATTACTTAATGGTTCACCTTTGATTAAGTTTTTGATTGCGCACCGCCACCTTTGGGCCTCCTTATGGTTATCCTCGTGCTTATCAAAAGACCTAAACCTTAAGGTTATTATATTTCTTTCACGTTTTTTGGGGCCTTGGAAAATGTAAGCGTAAATATACAAATAAGCGCTTACATCAGTGTCGTCCTTTTCAGAGGAGTTTTCTTCGACAACTTGTAAACTGTCGGATCTTGGTAAGGACTGGCAAGTGCAATTATTTCTAGTAGAGCGTTTTTTGCCTCGTAAGCACTGACATCCTATGATGTCTTTTAGAAGGACTAATTGCTCTTTCAATGGGTCTTGTATCAAGTGCAAACCTTTGGGGGTCAGACGGACTTTAAACGTGTCTGATTTTTTGGATAAAACGTAAAAAGTTTCTTCCAGGAGGATTTGGGGCTCTTCGATTTCCATGATATTCACATACACTGTCACACAAACGAGAATTTAAATAAAGTGAAAGTTACTGTTGAAGATTAGAAACTCATACTTGCGTAGCTGAAACAACACTGAACAATATTTAAATATTTAAACAATTAATTTTGTATTATTTATATTACAAACTTCAAACTTTCCCCATCTGTGATTGGTTAAAAATTAACATTTTGAATTTCGAATCAAATATAATAGATGGCGCCAGCGTGTTATTTAATTTTTTGTCCTTTTTTAACCAATAAAATTAGACAAAGACGAAAAACAAAACAGCTGTTTGTTACAACAACATAACCCCAAAATTTGTTTTAGCCTTTTAAACCTTAAAAAAAGGGGGCTGTTTTGTTTTTTTAATTTTAAAAGTGGAAAATGGTTGAGGAAATAAAGAAAAACCTTTACGAAATAGCTTCGAAAATTGAAGGGCTATACGGCATTACATTTACAGACAGAGACGGAGTCCCACTACTAAAAGTAAGTAGTTGTTTACCTAAGAAATGCGGAAAGTGATACTTTACCGCACTCGACAAGGGCGGTAAAGGCACTTTCTGCATGTGTTAAATACAGAATTTTGTCTATAAAATGGCATTTATTGAAATTACTTACAATGAGCAGGGATTAGTTTTCTTTACTGTTTGGGAAAGCTAGAGCTACCTTTCACTTGCAAATGAGTGTGGTAAAGTGCACTTTCCGCACGCTCGTAAGAAATTATAGATATTTATATGCAATAGCTCTCCTATTGTAGGAATAGTATACTTACCTTTCACTGATAATAAATTTATGTATTTGTCCTTTTTATCTTCTACCTATGTATGTAGTGAAATTTTCAATTGAAAAAGTATGAAAATTTAATTTTGAGCTTTTGAGTTCGAAAGTTTTGACCATTCCAGGGTAAAAGCTAAAGTTAATTCATCTGGAATAGAATTAAAATCTTATTCCTGGCTCTCCTAAATCAAGAAACATATCAAGGAAGTTCAACAAAAGTCCGATTATTCTAGAACTACAGGGTCCTTATTCTTGGAACAGGGAGCAGCGTTCCCAGGAGAACGAGTGTTCCGTCTTTCTCAGTTATATGCAACTGATAATATGAGTAACGAAGACGGAACACTCGTCCTGCTGGGAACGCTGCTCCCCTGTTCCAACAATAAGGACTCTAGAGAGTTCATTTTATCTCCTATGGAGCGAAATTGATTAGAAAAGTGTGAAAACTTCATTTCCAGCTGTTGCATTCAAAGGTTTTAACCATTCCAGGGTAAAAGCTGAAAATAATTCATGTGGAATAGCAAAAAAATCTTATTCCTGGCTCTCCTAAAGTCAAAAATATACCAGAGAAGTTCAAAAAAGTATGATTATTTTAGAGCTACAGGTTGATCTAGAGAGGTTCTTTTTATCTTTTATGGAAGGAAATTCAATAGAAAAAGTGTGAAAACTTCATTTCCAGCTTTTGAAATCAAAGGTTTTGACCATTCAAGTAGGGCAGAGGCACCACTTATGGCCATCTTAAGGGAATTATCAATTGTCTCAAGCATAATTTTTTTTTCTTGAATTTCCGGAGATCATCTGTTGATATTGTTTAAACTTTGTAATATTTATATTATAGAAAACTAAACAATTAAAACATTACATGTATATTTAATGAATAGCAGAAACTATTACATTCATTATTACATGATATAAGTGACAAACATCTTGACATCATAATGACAAATATATTCTAACTGGTTATACTAAATGCTAGTGGTTTGTCTATTATCAAACCTTAATAATAAATATTGAACACCTTCCCCTTAAAGATTCAGTCTAGGAGGGGCTTTTACAGTTCTTCCAAAACTAGATACACGCTTATGATTATCAATATTAACATTATCAGAAGGAACTGGTATATGTGACTGAGCATGGGATTTAGGTACTTTATTTATCGGGGATACATTTGGTATATTAGGAATAAGGTTAATATCATTATACAAATTAAAATTCTGTTGTGATCGAGGTTGTGATGGTTGACTTTGCTCGAAAGGATACAATTCAGGCTCAAGAATTCTCTCGTTTTGATTTAAAATTGTAAATGATAATTTCATTTGACTACTGTTACGTCTTACTATTTTATTGTTATTTTCCTTCCTCACCCAATATGATCGCGGCTCATTAGCTTTTTCTAAAATTATACCCTTATGCCAAATTTGATCTTTAGAAGATTTAATTACAACTTTATCTCCCTTCTTAAATTCCGTTGGAGATTTACGAACTTTTTTGTCGTAGTGTAATTTTAAGTGTTTTTTCTGATCAACTAATTTCGTATAAATGTGTGTTTGAATTTTTGGCTCCAGTTGATTATTGTTTAATGGTAATTGCGATCTTAGATTCCTACTTTGAAGAATTTGAGCAGGAGAGGCATTAAGACTAACAATGCAAGTATTATTATACTCCATCACAAGATCCCTATAATCATTATTGTCTTCAGCTCCCTTTTTTAAAATTTGTTTAGCAATACTTACTGATTTTTCTGCAAGCCCATTGCTTTGGTGGTAGTGGGGAGTACATGTTAAAATAGTTATATCTTTGTCTCTATAATAGGATTTGCATTTATTTGAAATAAAAGGTAGATTATCTGCAATCACGAATTGTGGATACCCAAATTTTGTAAAAATATCCTGAAATGCATTTATTACTGAATTTGATGTTTTGTCTTTTAATAATATGACTTCAAGCCAATGTGAAAAATAATCTATGATTACTAAAAAGCTTTTAGCACTATATTCTAATATATCGGTGCCAATTTTGTTAAAACGGAGTGTTGGTACAGAATGTGGTAACAAAGGTTCTTTATAATTACTTGGCATGAATTTTTCACAGATTCTACATGTTTTTATGAAAGAAGTAATGTCGGTGTTTAATTCTGGCCAAAAAAACAAAGTTCTAGCTTTATTGATAGTTTTACTAATACCTATATGACCTTTATGAAGAAGTTTGATGATATATAGTCTGAGACTTTCTGGGACAATAATCTTATCATTAAAAAATACTATGCCTGCTTCAATATAAATATAATCTCTAATTTTGTAGTATGGTTTGCATTTGTCCGAAATGAATTTTTCTTTAGGCCAACCATTATAGTAAAAATCGAAAATTTTGGAAAGGGTTTCATCTTTACTGGTTTCTACTCTAAATTCGGTTTTCTTTTCCTCACTCATTGGTAAATATTTAGTCACTAGATGTACCATTTCTAACATTTCAGGGTCATAACTAGTTTGTTTTAAAGTTGAACGAGATAACATATCAGCAAAATGAATATCTTTTCCTGGAACATAGTATATATTAAGGGAATACTTCAAAAGTTTCAACCTAAGTCTTTGAAGTCTCACTGATCCAATTTTGCTGACGGGTTTTTTCATAATAGAGATTATTGGCTTATGATCAGATTGAACATTTATTTCAAAATTATAAATAAAATTATGAAACTTTTGTGTTCCAAAATAAATAGCTAATAATTCCTTTTCGGTTTGACTGTAATTTATTTCATGATCATTCATATTACGAGATGCGCAAGCTACTAATTTAAGAATATCATCTTCATGTTCTTGAAACATACAACAGCCTAAACCGTTTTTTTGATGCATCGCATTGCAAGACAATTTTAAATTTGGGGTTGAAAGGAACTAATGCTGGGGGTTTACTGATAATTGTTTTAAGGTTTTTGAAACATTCGTCATGTTTTGGCAACCATTGCCATTCTACATTTGATTTTAACAATTCAGATAATGGTTTTATGAATTCAGCCATATTCGGAATATATCGTCTAACATAATTAAATGAACCTAAAATTCTTTGCAATTCGATTTTATTATTAGGGCATTTTAATTTACACAGAGACTCAATTCTATCCGGATCTATTTCCATTCCCTTATTAGAAAAAATCTGGCCCATAAATTTTACTTGTTTCTGGCAATATTGGATCTTATCTTTATTAAATTTTGCACCTACCTCTCTGGCCCTTTGTATAACTTTTTTTACTGTAATGTCATGTTCCTCTTTAGTAGAACCCATTATGATCATGTCATCATGGCAAATTTGAACATTTTGTAAATCGCCAAAATTTTTCTCTACTTCATCTTGAAAAAGGTCCTGAGAATTGGAGAGCCCATATGGTAGTACTACATACCTATAAATTCCGTAAGGTGTAGCAAAACAACATTTCCATGAGGAATCCTCGTCCAGTTCAAGATGGTGATAGCCTTCAGCCAAATCAAAAACAGAGAAAATACACTTACCAATAATATTTGAACATAGTTCCTCTAAAGTATGGACAAGTCTAGGTTTACGTACAATTTGTTTATTTAGGTCTGAAGGGTCTAAACATAATCTTAACTTACCATTTGGTTTTTCCACTATAACCATACGATTTATACTTGCTCTGGCATCAATTTGATCCACTTTTAAAATTGCGTTACGATCTACTAATCTATTAAGTTCACGTTTTAAAGAATCTTTTATTGCTATAGGTACTTTTGTGGGTGGGTGGCTCACTGACTCAAATTCATCAATAGTAGTGATTTTAAAATTTCCTGAAAATCTACCATGTCCGCTAAAAATATCAATATTTTCTGAAATAAATTTTTCTTTATCGCTTGTAGAAGGAGGAAGAACATTTATGTCAACCTTATTAACCCTTTTTAGCAATCCTAAATCAACACAAACTTTACCACTCAAAAGAACACGGTTTGCACCCTCAACAATCACAAAATCCTCATATATATTCTTATTCTTATACTTTACATTTAAATTTACAATGCCAATTGTTTTGGCTTGTGTGCCTTCAAATCCTTTAATAATATATTCAGAATTTCTAACTTTAAATTGCCTATCGACTTTTTTGAAAACATTTTGAGAAATTACACTTATATCAGCACCTGTATCAAGAGTTACCCTACATTTTTTATCTTCCAAATTTATAATTTCTTCCCACATATTTTTATGGTTGCAATTCATTTTATTGCAAAAACATTCCCTATCTACATTATTTACAAATACATTACTAGAGCTACTGTCACTGTCATATTCTTGGTCTTGGTCTACATTTTTAACATTTTTGACCTTACAAGAAATAGCAAAATGATTTAAAATTCCACATTTTTTACATGGCTTGCCATAAGCTGGACATTCACGTGCGCCATGATTTGATTGACAGCGTCTACAGTAAAAAATTTTCCTAGGTTTATTTTTCCTATCATATCTATTTTTTTTATGTTCAATATAATTTTTATTTTTATTATAGTCACTTACCGAGGCGTTTTCCTGAGTATACCTATTTTTATATTTTTTTACATTATACACTTCGGTACCTTGGTTTTGCTGAAATTGCAAATTTTGCTGCTTGCTCTGTTCGCTGGTCCTACAAAATTCTATGGCCTTGTCCAGAGTAAGCTTTTCGATCCTTAGTAAAGCTTCTCGGGTTACAGAGTCTTTAATTCCCATAA